CGTAGGGTGAGGGGGCTGTGGTGTGTGTGCGCACATGTGTGTGCATGAGGACAGAGGTAATCACGGGGGGGGGCAAGGGAGCGCACACTCACCCCTGCCTTATGTGATGTGTTCCCGTGTTTCTCTGCACCCTTCTACAGGTCGTCCATGCCATCAGCGATATCCTGCTCCCAAGAGTGATCCGCCTGCGCGACTTGGACGCTACGCTGGCTGGCTTCGCTGCCCTCAGGTTCCCCAACTGCGGGGGAACCCTGGATGCAAACCACATCCCCGTCCGGGCCCCGGAGCATCGAGCAGCCCATTTCATGAACAGGAAGGGGTACTGCTCGATTGTTCTTCAGGCCCTCGTGGACCACCGGGGCCACTTCCTGGACATCTATGCGGGCTGGTCCAGCAGGGCACATGACGCCCGCATCCTCTACAACTCCGGACTGTTTTGCAGGCTGCAGGCGGGCACCTACTTGCCCCGGCAGGAGTTGACTGTCGGGGATGTGCCTATTCCCATCTGTATCATCGGGAACGCAGCCTACCCTCTGCTGCCCTGGCTAATGCGGCCCTACCCGGGGCAGCCGGACCAGAACCAGGCCCGGTTCCTCCCGTCTCGAGATGGGTAAGCGGAATGCAACGGAGATAGTGGCCGCGTGCTGCGTGCTCCACAACATTGTGGAGTGGAGTGGGGAAGCGTTCCTCCCTGCATGGATGGCAGCCGAGGCCCAGACTTATGAACAGCCCTGCACAGCTGCCATCTGCCAGGCGCACCAGGATGGGGTGCGCATCCCAGAGGCCCTGACGGGCATGTTAGCACAGGCCCCATAGTAGGGTCACTTCAGTCTCCCCATACAACTCCCTCCCATTCCCCCTCCCGTCACCTCCCAATAAACACCAACACAGTTTTGTTTTCAACAGAAAAACTTGTATGTTTTTATTTACAAGGGGGAGAGGGGGAGGAGACCTTGACCTGGGAGGGGGAGGAGCTACTCCTGGGAGGGGTGGCCCCTGCGACCACTCCTGCGGGGGCGGACCTGCACATGGGGGACAGGCCGCGTCGGGGCAGGCTGCAAGGGAAGGTGGGCAGGAGGGGCAGGAGCAGGAGAGGCCATTGCAGGAGGGGGAGGGAACGGGGCAGGGGGGGCGGGGGGGGGGGTGGGGCAAGGCCATGACATAGTGGACGGTATGGCCAATGTGAGAGGTGAGAGTGGCGACAGAATCTGCCATGCGGATGCACTGGGCCTGGAAGGCGGCCCAGGCCTCCTGGCGCCACTGCAGGTCCGCCTCCACGCGCCGAGTGATGGCTGCCTTGATGCACTCAATGGCATGCATGTGACGCCAAAGGAGCTGGTCCTGGTGGCGGAGCTGCTGCTTCGATGGTTGGCCGGCTGGGGGTGGTGCTGGGGCACGCGGGGGCGGCGGGGGTTGG